CATGATCCACACATTCTGTGTCCTCTATTATCCACACATTGAGTATCAGTGTGATTGAACTGAAAGGTAACAGGATTAGGAGAACAATAGAGGAGACAGTCCTCATTGATAATGCATGCATTAGGATTGGTTTCATTATCATTGAAAGGTGTACTGGTATGATATGTTCCAATCCACAGTAGACCATTGTGTGTAATGTGTAGGGTATTTATATCACATGTGACATTCTCTCTTGAAACACTGCAATCACAAACACCTGAACTGTTTACACTGAAACCAATAGGACACTCATTAAAAATAAATGAAACACCTGATTCATTGCTATATGATGTATCAGTAGTGATGATGAGTTTAATGTTATGTTCTCCATAATGGTCGATATATTTTGGTGAGTATTCAATCAGTGAACAATTATTAATGTATTTGTCTATCACTATTGTTCTATTAATTTCTATTGTTAATCTACCATCAGTAAGACTGTATGAGTTTGTATGAAAAGTGCGTCCAAATAAAGCAACATTATATTTCAGTGGTTGACCTGGAAAAATACTTTGTTGCTCATCATCATGCCATATTGGTGTGGTTTCATTACTGTCAGGATCACAAAAAGCAAATGCACTTGCATCACTTGATGTTGAAAGATTTGCTAATGTTAAGGAAGCAGTATATTCCAATTGAGAATCAACTCCATATATATCATTTCCAGCTACTGCAGCAGTATTGCCTTTAAATGTAAATGTGTTAAGAGTTGCTAAAAAATAGAAAATTGAATAAGAGTAATAATCACTCTCAGTTATGTGACTTATGTCATCCAAATAAATTCCTCCTCCTTTATAAGTTGCATGATTATCAATAAACTCCAAGTTAGCTGATGGTGATAGGGCCACAACAGATGAACCATTTATTGCCATTCCTCCTCCGACTACTCCAGTATTATTCTTAAATACTAATCTATTTTCTACAGTTACTACTGAGGATATAATCACCAGTCCTGTTGATAGACTATTAGTAACAGTAGTGTTATTAAGAATGATAGAAAGACACCCTGCTATCTGATTTCTCCAGTTTCCAACAAGTTCAGTATCTATAACACTGATATGAGCTGATGTTGATAAACTTCCAACAATTAATAAACCAGTAATACTATTGTCATGACTTGAACATGACTTAAGAGTAATATCAATATGATAATTACTTAGTTGAATATAATCTCTAAATGTACCAATAAGTAATCCATCATCATTGTTGTAAAATTGGGAATCCTCAATTACAATAGTAGATCGTGATTCAACACCTTTAATATTACACTCTTTAAATTGCTGTGAATGTGTGCCTAAAAAAGAAATAAATCCTATCTCTGACTTAGATACTGATGAATGGGTAATATACAGAGAAAAAAGAGATTCTGTGAATTGATGAAAAACACCATTTTCTGATGAACTGATGATATTGACATTATCAATAAGAACTGATATATTATATGAGGTACCATGATTCATATAAAACACTAAGGAGCCATTAGTCACAGTAACATTAATCAGTGATAATGAGTAATGGTGTAATTCATTGTAACACACTGGAGAAGGATAATAGACAATAATTAGACCTGCATTATCAAAAACTGAAGATGTTATCTTACTGTCAAAAACACGAAAGAGGCTGACAAAATTGTATAGGTATCTCAAGTATTTAAAAACAGAACTAGCAATTGTGATGTTACTTGAATATCCAAAATATATGCTGCATTCCTGGAATAATAAGTTACTAAAACTGATATGACTGCTTTCATAGATTGCTACATCATCCGCACCAAAAATAGAACTAGCAATTGTAACGTTACTTGAATAAACAAAATATATTCTACAATCCTGGAAAGATAAGTTACTGAAACTGATATGACTGCTTTTATAAATTGCTACATCGTAATAAAAGTAATCGTTATACTTGCAGTGAATAGTAGGAAACTGGTCCAGTCCATGTAGAGTTATATTTTGTACTGAGTTCATTGTGACAGTAAAGTTAATGACACTAGTTCCAATGAAGTAGAAGATGGTGTTATTGTATTGAGACATATTCCCAGCATACACTGATAAAGGATTACAAGGTGACTGAGTAACTGAACTGCAGTCATCAGACACATAATACTGACCAGAGGAGACACTGCAGGAGCTACTGAAGAATAAGAGAACAACCACTAACAGGAGAGACATAGCTACTGTCTGTACTGACTGACTAGTGTATACTTGCAGGCTATGAGTGATGACTTATATAGGCTACTTGTTCTCCAAATATGGAAATTGATGCATACCGGTAGTTGTGATGATTAGACTCAATCTAATTAATAGTACAATACACTACAAGCATAGATAATAGAGTATACTCTAATATACTCTAATATCTATGCTACAAGTCATTGTTAATAATTAATTTTTACTTTTTATAAATGATATTTATAATTATCTATACTAATCCTTTAATTTATGATCTTTGAGAAAAGATGAAATAATTAAAGAAATATTAATTCACATAGTATAGTCTCATACTTGTAGTGCAGCTATTGCTTTGTCAGTATCTGCTTCACTCAATCAGTTTCTGTTAGTCTATATCTCTCCTACTCCATTCTCTCATCTTTACTATGGACTGCATGGTAATCATACTTACATAATAAGTCATTATGTGTACAATCACAGACATACTCTATCATTATATGACTGTACATTGAATAAATGCTCTACTGGTATATGGTTAGTCATGAGTACATAACCTCAATATTACTGTGTATGTGTGTATTTATGTATAATGTGGTTTATATTAAATAAAAATCATTAAAGAATAGAATTATGCCTCAATTACAATATAGGAGAGAGTGGGAGAGGAGAGTTAGTTAGTGAATGACATTGCAATTGTATCTGCTTTGCTTCATTACAGAGGAATGTGGGGGTTTATGTGAACAGGTGGGAATTGACTTGTACTTGAACTAATCAAAATTCTATAAAATTATGTACACATGCATGTACTTTTATATTGACTTGGAGTTTTTCTTAGAATTTTTAAATTTGTATTTGTAGATCTAGTACAAATCTGTATTCATGCATGTATACTATGAATATTTGTTCATTTATGCCATATGTACAAAACTTCCCACAAATTATTAGCTAATTTGTGTTGTAATTTAGCTGTAATTTTCCACTAATATTCTCAACCACTGTAAGAGAGTAAATAAAACACTTGTTGTGATTCATATACACTAAGCCACTATCAGTATATGCAGTATCTATGTACAGGTGGGGATTGAATTTTTTAATTTGGCACGTATTTGAACAAATTGGAATTCTAGGAAGACATGTACAGGATAAAAAAGCAGCTGCACATGCATAATTAAAATTTTTCCTAGAATTTTCATATTTGTACTTGTAGTAGGAATCTGTGTGCCTGAGTTCATGTACATATTAGTAATTTGTTCATTTATGCATCAGTACAATGTACATGTACTTCAATTGACTGTACTACAATAGCTTGCCATTAAAGTGTTATAGTACAGGTTATTTTACCAAAAATCACTAGGAGAGAATACTG